GAACTACAATGAGTTTCAAAAGCATACGCTTGCAGGCAGAACAATTCTGAGGCTGGCATTTACATGCACAGCCATGTGCGTCATGCAGTTGTCATGCAAATTATACTACAATTCAAATTGGCTTTAAATATTCACTGAAATGAAAAATACCGCAGATCCCAGGTTTGCTGTTTCTTCCCAAACTCTTGACGTGGAGTCAAAACTTTTTCTCTAATTCAGCAGTACACTGACCCTCTTTTAAGAATTGGTACTGTGTAAAATGGCAAGACGTGTGTTACGAAAACTAATGCAAAAAAAGAAGAAAAGTTGGTGCTAAGAGGGGAAGAGAGGTTGTTGGGAGGTCGAGCAGGGCTGTGATTGCGAACAGAACACACTAACCGAGCCAGTAGATTGAAAGTATGAAGAGTAGGCGTATTTGTCTTGTAGAAAACAGCAGGAATTTCAAACTGCCTGTGGAAAAGGCATCAAATGCTAAAGTACTTGGTCTTCAAATTCACCCATATCTGTGCTGTCAGATGGTGGAGACCCCTTTACTGATGGGCTGAACTGGGGGGGAAGAAAAGGATTTTTATATGAGGTCTTTAAAATGATCATGGAGCCAAAGCACTAACTTGATGGCTTTCATCTTTTCGATTCACGGAAATAGTTGATTTTCAACCAACTTTCATTTATTGACTATTCATTGCATCACTTCAACATGTGAATTTAATTCCTCTAATATGTTCTATTGGAAAGAAGTCACCACTGGGAAAATATTTCCCAATTCAAAATGGCTAGTGTTCTTGTTTTTTCTGATTTTCTTGCATGTTTTGTAAATAAATCAAAAGTAACTTTTTCTCAACCATGGGGTTTTGTTTAAACCAGTGTGTGTGTGTGTGTGTGTGTGTGCGTGTGTGTGTTTTTAATTTATTTGGCTAGATTCAGTACAATTCTAGCACAACGTGGGAAATATTGTCGAGCAGTTCTGAGAACTGGGGGCATATTCAACTGAGATCTGTAGCCAACTGAAAACCCGCTAAGGGTGACTGACTGTGGAAGCATGGCCTGGCCCTGCGGTGTTGGGAAATGTGTTGTGGCGCTTTCGCGGTGTTCTCCCACATTACAGTGGGTCCTCAAACCTGTTTCACCCCCACCTCCCTCCCCCTGGGGCTCGGAAACCTTCCAGAAATAAGCGGAACATGAGTTCATGAGCATAGGATGTTGAAAGGCACTCGAGCTTCAGCCTCCACGGGAGGCACTGGAACCTGGGACTCGACTGCAGTGAAGCTGTCAGTTCCTGCCCTAATCCCGTGTCATTACCTCTTCATCATTTAAGGAGGATTAGAGGAGGCCCAACAATCTTTTTGTAAAGCAACACTGAACATTTGCAAAAATCCTGCATTTAAGCATGAGATATTAAACATTTGCACCCAAAAAAACCCCAAAAAAACACTGATGAGAGGGTGGTCTGGAGAAAAAAACGTCTCTGACATTATACTGTATCTCAGACTGGAGTATCACTGTCCCTGACTATCCAGGACTGTGTGGGCACTAGCCACTGTCTCCACCTCCTGCTCACAGCTTTGGTCCAACTAACAAGGATTACAAGCACAGAATATATGAAAGCGGGCCTTCATACTGAGAATACTGATAACTCTAATTACGGATGTGCTTATGCTTGGAACAGGTCGACATTAATTATTAACAACTAAATTCATTTAGTGGCTGGACTGAAGTCTTGCCTTCTTCAGCTGCAGTGCCCTGAGTGAAGATGACTTTGGTCAACACATATAGGCAAACACTAGAAGACAAGGTTAGTACTTATACCCACGTTTACACTTGACATTTAACCAGTTTGGCACGATCTGATTCTGATTGTTTCTTTCACACACAGACCTTGAGGTTTGGTGTAGTACTTATTCCTGTCACACGGGCGACTATTGCAGGCCAGGGGTATTGTTACTACGAGCGTGGAAGGGAGCTGAGCTGTCTTTTGATTGGCTGGATGCAGATGAGGTTTTGGATGATGTATGGTTAGACTGCGGTTCCCTGAAACCCAAGAGACAAGCTAAGTAGAGAAATTGAGGAAAAGCCATCGCTGAAACCTTTGTCTGCTTACAAGCTCCTGCCTGAATTATGTCCTTTTAATTCAGTATTATGGTAGTTACACACACACACACACACACACACACACACACAAGCGCGCTGCACGCACGCACACACACACGCACACACAGACACGGAAACTCACATTTACATGCACATACAGACAGACACGCGCACACACACACTCACACAATGGGTTTTTGATTAATACTGGTTGGAGACAGTTCACTATTTCCATTTGCAGTGCGGGCCTTTGGAAATTGCATTTTCATGTACATTGTTAAGGCACCTTTTTGTATCTCGTAACCAAGATTAAAGCGCTAATTTATTGTGAAGGTGATGAAAGAGAATTTCAATGAGTGTTGCCTATTGCGAATTACAAGCCATTCAGGTATCATAGCCTTCAGGTGGACATTCTTTGGAGCGCGTAGAGCCTGTTTTATGGTTATATCTCTGATGGGAGTGAGCTGTATTTACGAGATGTTTTCTCATTGTTCATATTTTTTAAAGCATGCTTATGACATCAAACTCTGAAGGAAATGACACCTGCTTTTGACAGGGTGAACTAGGCTAGCAGACTGCTGAGTGGCTCAGACTTTAAGCCTTTGAAAGAGGAGTATTTTCTAAGGTTTTTCAACATTCTAAGTTCTAGAACTCCACTGCCTTAAGGCTACGCCGGCACTTATACGTTTTCATTTTAAAACAGCGTTTTAAAACAAAAATGATCTCTGCCCTCACTAAACCGCAATCCAGGAGTTTTCAAACTGAAACGGTGTTAGCAGTGTTTTCAAAAGTATCCATTTTGGGGGTTTGAAAACGCCAGAGTAGTTTGAATGCAAGGAGAAAACATTGCAAAAGTTTTACATTTTTAAAAAAAAACGTAGTAGTGTGGACGTAGCCTCAGATTGCGGTGGTTGGTTCCTCAGCATTAGAACGTTACGAACATTATAACGTCTCAGAGGGTGAAGGAATTTGTTCCAGGTTTAGGACAGCGCCGTGATCCAGGGTGTTCTGTGTAACGCATCATTAAAATACCCAGATGTTTGAAGGTGGGAAAAGTCCAGAGACGTCTTATGAGGACATAAAACTCAATAAACATATGCTGTTTCTCATGGTCATATGTAAATATCAGAGTGTGTAATGGGTGCGCTCCAGATGTAATTATCTTTACAAGTCTTCCACTGCAAGTTAAATCTGTCTATTATTGGAGTAATGGCTATGCTTTTCCTGGCTTTGCAAATCTCATTTTTTTAGTTATTCCAGATTACTCTTCATGAATGATTTTCAGAATTATTGCTCTGCCCTTTGATTGCTTGTGTCCACTCTCTGTTAAATTTTTGCACTTTGCATTAAATTCTGTTCCTGAAGTTCGGAAACCACCATAGTCCTTCAGCATATTCAAGGTTTACTTCAATGAAGCCGTTCAACAAAAGCCTTATTCAACCTTATTAGCTTCTCGGACTCGTGTCAGGAGTGAAGTCGGAAAGAGAACGAGGTCGGAGTCCTCTGCTCAGGCACTTATTAGCACATAATAACTCTGAAGAGCTTTGTTAATGAGGATTAAGCCCGAGAGGGTTTTAAGAATGACTTTTGTTCTCAAATCCAGGGGCCTGTTTTATTGTTTCCGAGTACTGGTGCTTGTTTGGTGTCGCGATAGATTCTCTTGTGGGTGGATTGCCCTTATTTTATGAGGTTATTGCACATCCTTCAGAATTTGCCGGTGTCTTATCTGATGGATTGGTGCTGCATGCTGGCTGTGTCATTTTAATAAGGATAGAGTGGGTGGCTCTCTTGCAGGAGAAGAAGCTCTGGCTATAAGCTTAGCAATCAGCCTGTTTGTGGTGTGTGGGCACAGTCAGCCGTGGCGAGGGTCGCGGAGCAGTGCAGCCCTGGCTCTGAATGTTAAAACCACACTGAAGCCAGCCGGCAGAAACATTGGGGCATGACCTCATTGTGTTCCCTTCGTTTGAGGAATTGGCTAAATTAAAAAGCGTCTATCAAGACTCGGCCCTGTTACTGTAAGTTACGAGCGTTCGAACCTCTGCCAGATTTTGTTCTAAGGATGGGACGTTTTCAACAAACAGCCCTTTGGGATTTGTGTCATTAATATTTAATGAAAAACTGCGCTGATCATTTTATAAAAACAAACCCTTGTTATATCCTTTTTTAAAGAGCCTGTGTGGTTTCACATGGTTTTCTATTCCCTTGACACTGTTCTCGAGATGATAATAATTGCTGCAAATTATTTACCTCCGGCGTCAATTATGCTCATTGAGTCCTCAGCTGTGTCAGTGATGGAATTAAAAATCTTCAGGCCTTGAGTTTTATGACTCCGGAAAGCCATGAGACGGCAGTAAATAACATGCTTGGAACAAAAAAACAAAAAAAAACAAGCAATTTCTGAATCCCAAACTTGTAGAGCTTGGTTGTCGTCAGCCAGGGTGTGTAGGCAGTTATTACGGTTTCTGTTCTCATTTAATTTCCTATTTTTCTGGCACGGAGCCCAGGTCGTGCACTAAAGACTCGGTAACAAGAAATCTCCTTGCAGAGCCGCACAGCAATTAGAATGAGGACCAGATGCTATTCTAGTTATTGCGAAATGAATTCAATTACCGTTTGCGATTCGAGCGACCTGTTAACGCCAAATTGAATTGTATCCTTCGGCATTACAATGCACCCTTCCTAACTGTCCCTCATGAAGAAAATATCATTGAAAGTATCTTATATCTATCAAGCAGACATGTCTTGATTTAGTTTTTTCCTTTCCCTGCAGGCCAGCCTGTTTAATGCTCACGTTTGACTTCAGAGGCCTGACTGTACTGCCGTCCACAAGCGGTGTGTCATTGGTGAAATCACTGAGTAGATGACGTTTAGTATTATTCACAATATCAGTATTGTTTCACCACACAATGGCAGACGCGGTGGCACAGTGGTTAAATGTGCTTGACTCAGGATTGAAAAGCCCTGAGTTTGAGTCCTGGCCTCGGCTGTCGTGGTGTGCTCTTGGGCAAAACACCTCACTCCCACAGTGCCCCACTGAAGCCAGGTGTATAATTGGGTTCTGGCAAATTGTCAGGGAAGCCTGACTAAGAGCTGGGGGGTAACCGGTGATGATCTGGCATCCCATCCAGGGAGAGGAGCAACACTTCAAATCACTTCATGCTACAGAAAGCAGAGTTAAGCACCGGTCTGATGAGCCTCTGGACTCAGGAAAGACTTTGGCCTTCAGCACACAATACAATCCCCTGCTTAGATCAGGCTTAGCCTGGCCTTTAGCACACAATACAATCCCCTGCTTAGATCAGGCTTAGCCTGGCCTTCAGCACAAAATACAATCCCCCGCACAGCTGAATCAGACTCTTCCTTGCAGCACGTGGACGGGTCTCTGGATCCTCTCTTAGGCGTCTCGTACTGTACTGTTCTGCGTTTGTCGCAGTGCTTCAGCGGGCGCTGTAAATCTGCACTCTGTGTGCATGAAGAAGCATTTTATTTTTACTGGGTAATAAAGAGCTGCTTATACAAAGTCACTGCCAAGAGGCTGTGAAATCCCAGAATGCACTTTGCTCTGACACAGTAAAATACAGTTCAGACGTACAGTATGGTCCTCGTCCCCACCGGGCGTAATGAGTCATTGTCTCCCGGTAACGGGACATTGACAGCACAAAGTGAAATGGCTGTAGCTGGCTGTCGAAGGGCTGGTAATTAACCCAGCGCACTTTAAGAGACGTGTAGCTGCCTCTGACAGTTCTGACTGGAACCGACCCTCTTGGCATCACTTATCAGCTCAGTTTGACTTTAACTTTAGCACCTCTTGCCCTGGTATTTTACAGTAATGGCGTTATCTAAAATGCCTCCTGTTTCATCGAAAGGAAGACGATACTCCAAAAAAAAAAAAAAAAAAAAGAACCTGAGCTCAGTGACTGAGATGACCTCCTACAGGGGAATAAATTGAGTTTTTTGAGTTATTGCCACCAAATCTTTTTTTTTTCATTTCATTTTTTGTGTTTTTGACTCTTTTGCTGGGAGACTCTTGCTCTGTTGTTTCGTGTGCGTATAGCAGATTAATTAATTTGAGCACTTGAAGAGTAAAGTGTTTTGTTTTCTACATTCTAAGCCTGTACTCTGTTTCTTTCAGTCAGCAGAGCTGATTTTTTTTAGCAGCTTTTGACTGTTCAGTTGGCAAAATTCTAAACGCGTACTCGATGTCTCGCATCTAATGCGGCAAATATGAGATCACACACGTTTTACCATCGGTCTCTAATTCCACCCTGATCCAGCCTGTTCCGCTCTGGGGCGGTGCAGTACTCCAGCTGCTCGGGTGGAGGAAGGAGGCATCTTTCCCCCACCCCCCCAACCCCCTCCTCCTTGTACCTGTCTTAAAGGTGTTCAGAAAAGAAACATGAATTTGATCCCACTATGGGTCTTAAAATTAGTGTAATCACTCATCTATCAGACGATGTAGCCCAAACTTTGTGCAAAATTCTATTTTCGAGTAAATCCGAGGTGAAAGTGGGGTAGTTTTTTTTTTCGCATTGGATAATGCAGGCGCGCAAATTATGCATCACGTTGCTCATGATTCGTCAGCCAATGATATCAGGATTCATCATACGTCAATCAAATGGCTACCGTTGTTTCGATATAAACGTCTGAGAAAAACCGGGAGGCTTTGATAGCGAGTAGTAGTTTTTGCAGGAGTAAGAGGTTTCGAGTTTTAGTGAGTGGTTTCGTGGGTTGTAGAGAGTTAGTATCTAGTGTGCAGTTGCAAGAGAGTGAGTGAGGGACACGTTTGGGTGAGTGAGTGTGTGGTGAGATTGTGAGTTCGCGCGTGTGTGAGTGTTAGTGGTGTTAGTAGCGGTAGCTAGGTAGCCTAGCATACGTGAGCTAGCATGGCTGGAGGAGGACGAAGGAGGTGTTTGCTTGGGTGTCCGTCCACCCAAACTTCTTTGTTCAGCCTCCCTTCGGATGCAGGGATACGAGCTGGCTGGCTTGAATTCCTGCACTTCGACGAGAGCAGGCTGTCAGTGAGATCCAGGGTGTGTGGAAGGCACTTCACACAGTCCTGCTTCTCAAACTACGGTCAATGTGTCCCGCCCCAAACATTGAATATCCCGCCCGCTCGATAACGCCCAATCAAATTCGTTTTCCTTACTCGTGTAAACTCTTGCGGAAACTCGGGGAAACTCGTAGAAGGAGGTGGGACAAACAGGACAAACGACCATTTCTGAATATCTTTAACTAACTGCCCCCTCTCACTGTTATCATGTGAATTTCCCTCCAAAACCCCCTGTTGGTTGTTCACTGGTTTTCCCCTCCATTGCTGTTTCTGTATCCAATCAATGTGAACTCCACTGTAAACACCAGCAGACTCGGTTGTGGTATATATTTGTAAGGGCCAATTCAGGGGCCTCATTTCCTGGCTCCGAGGGGGCCACAGATGTTGGCAGTTGTTTTTGTTAGTAACTTTTACTAAATTATTTCCTCATAATTTGACCAGCATAATAAATTTGATAAAACACTATCGCCTCTAATCATTAGGTTCAATGACATGAGTTATAATTCCTGGATGTGAAAGGTGCTTGGATTCTAGCAGGTTGGACTGCGTACTCATGGGATTAGTGTGCAGCGGTGAGCCGCAGCAGGGACTGTGGAGGGCGTTGTGTGGGACTGCGGTGCACGACAGCGAGACCTGGGCGTTCGGACCAGTGGGGTGCTGCTACAAGAGAATGACTCCGACTCGCTCAGATCTGTGAATTTTAGTTTTGTACTTCATGTTCCTGAAAGACACTGTGATTAAAACCTATGGCTGACCTGCCCAACATTAGTCCTGCTGATCATCCGCTCTCTCAGTATCACCCTAAATCTAAAAGTATCATCCCGACTCGTCATATAATGAGCTCACCTGACCAAGCGTCGTTATACGATAAAAAAGGAGGCTTTTGGCACTCTTATTTGATGTTTAGGGTTTAGGGTATATATATCATTGTATATTGACCCTTGGTCAGGTAGCATCTCTGTATGACGAGTCGGGATGAGACTGGGCTCTGCGATCCTACCAAAGTAGACCTCATTCAACAGCTCGTGTGAGGAAACCCAAACCAGTTTTCAGCAGGTGTACGACACTGTCAGATTTAACTCCAACCCAACCAACACACACCTCATTCATTCACAAGACCCGGACGTCCCAACCATGTTCCTGCAGATCTGCCACCCTGTCAGTTATCGCTGTAACCCCACCAACACACCGCACAGGCAACAGCAAGGATTTTCCTGGATCCTAACTGGTCAAATCAGACGCACCATTTTTGAGTTGGAGTGAAGTTTTGCAGGAGGACAGATCTCCAGAGACGTCGCGGAGCAGCCTGGCCGGCAGCCCTTTCTATTGTCATTCATATTAGACGGTCTGAGAGCCCAGCTTTATGTGATGCCTGCATTCACTGGATTCCCTGTCTGCAGAATGATGAACTGTCTGTGGATTAACTTGTCCTTTCAATGATTTCAATGCGCTCATGTTTATTGGATTTGATTTTTTTAATGCATGAATGATGTTAAGATATGTGAGCACTATTTGTCATGATTATTGATGGTTGTAAAAGCTTCCATAATTTCCAACAGCCATAAATTTTCTTCACATCCCAGCTTCAGTGATAAATCACAGTTTGCCTTTTATCAGTGCTGGCAAACTCAATTTTAATGTGTGTCAGGCTTACAGATCAACCTATGACAATTTACACTGCAATTTGCCGAGTGTTTATTTTAAGAATATTTTTGCTACTAACAGACCATGGCTGAATTGATTATATTGAATAATCGTATCCCCTGTTGGGAAGTATTTGGGCGGAAGAGGCTTCCACGGTCATCGCTCTGCTGTTATGGCCACTTCCTCTTTATCGTTCGAGAGCCATCGGTCAAATCAAGAGATTTTGGTAGTAGTCACTTATACCAGTGATAATGTTTTGCTCATCAAGTTTTATTTAAATGTATTAAATATGTATAAAAAAATCAGTTAAGGTGCAACATCTTCATAATTGATGTCAGTTGGACGAATTCATTTGACTGCCTGAGTTTAACAACATTGAGACAGTATCTTGAATAATTAATACTTCGAAGGTAGCCTGGAATCCATCCGTATCAAGCTTTGGTCGCTCCCAACGGTCACTTGCTTGTACGTCTGGCCTCAGTCGGTAGGCCAGCGTTTGACTTTCAAATATTCGCACAAAATCCATGCGAGATCTATGATTGGCTCACAGTCGCAAGGGTGCCCCCCTCGCCCCTTTAGACACACTTAAAAATAAATAAAATACCACAGTTCTGCATTCAATGGAAGTCCCGCCTCCTGGCTCGTGTTTATACGAGTATTCATCTGAGTGGCAGCAGAGTCTCTGGGCAATGAACCAGCCGGGAGGCGGGACTTCCGTTGAATGCGCGAGCTTACTTGAAGCATAACTGTGGTATTTTATTATTTTTGCAAAAAAACCGCGTTTCTAGAGTTGTGAGGATACGAGTGGACAATGCTGACTTGGATTATACTGGACGATGCGTTGGACGATGGTTTGAAAGTTTGTCAACGGACGTTTTGTGAGTTTTCCCATTGCACCTGCGTGACCCCATTTGCTTCCAGCAAAAAAGGAATTTGGATAATTTTTCAAAACTCTCCAGTGGCCATAAAGTTGCGCCAGGTGAAGAACAGCTTTGTCCGTTCAAGACATCTAATGGTGAGTAATTGATATACAAATTATAGTTTTTGGGTGGAGTATCACTTTAATCTAGCTGATGCAATCATGCCCTTCGATCTATATCTAATGCCAATTACAGTGAAACACGTTATGTAATTTGAGTATTATTTAATTTAACCTTTATTATACCGGGGAATCCCACTGAAATAAACAAAATGCAGATATGGCCAAACATTATCCTGTTCAAAACCTAACAACCACTCCAAGAGTAAACGCAAGCAAGCCACAATCTAATTTTTAAGCTCATGTCAAATAA